TTTGCTTTTACTTTGTTCAACGATACGCCATCTTTTACATGGAACACCCAGAAATAGCATCATTAGCTTTTTCCAAGAAGCATGAACGCGAAAAAACTGCGAAGCCACCTTCCTTATCTCCCTGCAAAACACACAGCGAATTATTGTCCAGGTACGACAAAACACGATTAACAGGAATGCGAGAACACACAGGTTTACAATGCGAAATGGCGTCTACTCCTTCAAAGGTAATTCTTTCTTCCTCACCTTCAGTCGCACGACGTGCCACCTGACGAATGACAGTCAAAAGTTCAGGGTTTGTCCTCTCTTTGAAGCCCTAACTTCGGCCCCAACTCTAGGACTTGAATGACGTCATCTGGAAGCTGAAGGTCTTCAGGTACATGAACCTTTCCCTTGGCCATCTGTTGAACACTGGTGACCCGCTCACGAAGATAGTGCAGCTAAGGCATCCAAAGAGCTTCGGTACCTTGCCCAGCCAATTGCAGGTACCTTTGGTGCTGTTGAGTTTTTTTCTGAGTCGGGTATATCCGCTGAAAATTTTCTTACCCTGTTTGAATTTTATCTTACTTCGACGTTCATTAAATGGAACTATGATATTCTTTTGCAAAAGCAGAGTATATGTATCGGCTCTTGCATCGCACCTGTCTTGAGCAATCTTTCTGGCAGAACTTTATAGAATTGAGGCATATCGTCTCGCAGAGATGACGGCTAAGAAAGTGTTCTGATATGTAGATGATTTTATTATTTTCATCGACAGCTCGGGGGAAAGTGTCCAAAGTGAGAGTACTAGTGTGTTGAATGTGTTTCGTGATGGTCTTAAGTTCCTTGAGGTGACAGTAGAATGGCCTAGCGACGGACGAATAAGGTTTTTAGATTTAGGTGTTCAGTGTTCTGACAACCAGCTATGCTGGTGCTATGATCCGCATGCTCAGAAAGCTTTACTCCCATTTCATTCCGGTCATTTCAAACTAACCAAGAGAGCCATCGCGACGACTTGCCTCAAAAACGCATTGAACAAGTCATGTGCGCACCTTATGAAGCAGAGCTTCCATAATCGGATCACACGTTTGCAAGGATCGGGCTATCCGGATCATGTTTTAGTTTCAGTTGCGGAAAAAGAGTTGAAAAGGATTCGTGCAAGGTCAAGCCAATCTAATGTTCATGTCGATTCACCGGCAAAATCAAGACGCACGGCCATAATTCCATATGTTCACCAGCTGTCACATAACCTTAAGAAAGTGGCACATCGGGACAATATTAGGGTGCTATTTTCAGTGGGGGATAAACTTGGGAAGTTGTGTGTGCTGACGAATCCATCACGTGGGGAAAGGGTGTTGTGCTCAAAAAGGCATACACACAAATTTGTGGAGTGCATTTCGTTCGTCATTTATCTCATTCTGTTCACATGTGCGAAAAAATATGTCGGACAAACCAGTAGGTGTGTGAATGAGCGATTGAGAGAACACAATTAAAAGGCGGATAAACTGCCGCCAGAAGGTTTTCTCGCTCTTCACATTCACGCGTGTGGGTGCCGGCCTTTGTTCCAGAGTACAATCATTGTTGGTCGGCATAAGGATGAGATGACTCGGTTGATCATAGAAGCCGAACTTATTGATGCTCTTGGAGATGCATGTATTAGCAAGCCTTCAATTGCCTTGTCACCCAAGGAACTGACGTTCCTGTGTACGCAATGATACGTGATTTTATCTGTGTGGTTCTTTGTTGTCCTAGTTATCGTTTTTTCTTGTAGGTAGATGACATTGTCGTGCATTTATCTGAATACACGTGCTTATCTGCTTGCTCGCCTGACGATTATGGCTTAAAAACGGCTTGGAGGTAGAAAATAAACATGTTGTTGCTAGTAGTGCTCTGTCCTCTCAGTCTATTCTTTCCCGTGTTCGTTTTTTCGCCTCCACTACATAAACTTCTTTCAAATGCACTGTCCTCATAGCTTGGCGAGATGGCAAACGTACACGAAGGGGATGCAGGGTGAGATTAGTTGTTCTTTGACTAGATTTCGCCTTGGCAAGTGATGCGGTTTCAGTGGGTAGTAGAAACCGTTCAGCATGATGAACGGCGGCACGTTGTCTTGCACAAGCGAACCACTTTGTGCACTCGGCCATTGCTCTAGGGATAGTGATAGCTATTGGACCTTTATATATATATGCTTTATCAAAAGCTGTCATGAGATCACAAGAGCCGATTTTGGCGCCATCATTGCCCAGCACAGCTGTCACTGGTGCCTGTAGCTTGCTTTAGTGCAAAATAAAAAAGCTTGAAGGAAACGAAACTTCTAGAAATGAAAGAAATTTCAACCCGGGCCCTCTGCGTGCATGCAGTCGAGCATTCTACCAGTCTACCACAAAGTCACACTAATGCCCGAAACTTCTTGGCAATAACGCCCTCTACAAATGACATGTCGGCTTAACATATAATATTGCATTGTAATCAAATAAACTAGCACCAGGCAATGCAAATCGTGCAACCAGTAGATCATTGATTTATTTCAACGCATTACAAATAGCTCCGCCATACTTTTTCATCGTCATAATCAACATGATTGATATGTGGGGTTTAACGTCCCAAAACCACTATATGATTATGAGAGACGCCGTAGTGGAGGGCTCCGGAAATTTCGACCACCTGGGGTTCTTTAACGTGCACCCAAATCTGAGCACACGGGCCTACAACATTTCCGCCTCCATCGGAAATGCAGCCGCCGCAGCCGGGATTTGCACCCGCGCCGTGCGGGTCAGCAGCCGAGTACCTTAGCCACTAGACCACCGCGGCGGGGCTCGTCACAATCAACAAACCGCACATAGTGCCATACAGATGTGTAGCGGGTACCGTGCTTCTCCACATAAAATAACAGCACATCATGAAAGTTGAAATGATCTATGGCGTGGTGGGTACCTTGCAAGCACCATTTAGAAATCTACAACAACGAGGATGACGGCTGGGATGGCCTTTAGCCAGGTTGAGTTCGGGTGGCACATAATGGCTGCTTTTAACTGTCTCGGGAAACCCTCAATCATTTTGTTGGTGCAGAGGTGATAACTAGTGGTCGTAACGCATTCAAATCCTATCGTCAGCCCGAGGAACCTGAAAAGATGAGACTTGAACTGGCGTCCTTGGTCGGTGGTTACACGGCACGTGTGTGTGTGTGTGTGTGTCCGAAACAAGCAATCCAGCTGTTGTAGAAGGCCAAGGCGACTTCTTCTGCGGTAATTCACTGGAGGGGCCAAGCCTCGAGCTATCCAGTGCACCTTCCGATGGCGGTGAGGCAGTAGCGATAAGGTCCATTCGTGGGAAAGGGTCCTATGATGTCGAGGTGGATGTGCTCAAACAGAACGGAGGGCTGAAAGAATGTTCTGATAAGTTACATGACATGCCTGGTGACTCAAGCGCGGTGACAGTGAATGCATGAGCGAGCCTAAGAGCAACAATACTGCTGCATGAAGGGTCCAACATAGCGGTCAGCCACGAGGCGTATAGAGGCCCATATGCCGAGATGGCTGAGACTGTGAAGCTGGTTGAGAAGACTACGGCGATGGGACAGGGGCACGTAAGGCCTGCTTCGTACTGTTGGCATACGCAACAGATTGTGGTAGTTGACTAAGGAATGGGGACTTCTTGTAGCTGTGGCGAGTATATGCCCTTGAGAAGTTCTTGTAGTACGGCGTCCGTAGTCTGAGCCTCGGCAAGGATGTCCACTGTTATCTGCATTGAGCTGATGGCTGCTACATGTGAAAGCGCGTTGGCGACCATGCTGTCTTTCCCGCTTACATGTTGAATTTCGGTGGTGAACTATGCCATTAAAGAGAGTTCGTTCTGCTGTACAAGCAGGTGTTTGTTGTGACATTCAGAGAAAACGTGGATAAGAGGCTTGTGGTCAGTATAGATAGTGCACTGCAGTGCTTCGGGAATATGGTGAAAATGTTGCACTACTTTGTATATCACCAGAACTTCTCTGTAGAAGGCTGGCAAGTTTGTTGGGGCAGTGGTTGTGGTTTTGTCAATGGGACTGGCAGTAGAAGAGGTCTTTTTCCGAGTTTCTTGGAGAAGGACAAGGGATGCCATGTGTTGTCCATGCGTTGCATGGGTGTGGCACCGATGACGAAACTAGACACATCCGTCCCAAAGGAGAGTCAGGATGGGTGAGTAGCAACACGACACTGAGAGCGGCTTTGCATTCTTCAAAAGTTGGTGTCAATGAGATGGGTATGTTTCCTCGTAGCTCCACCACACCACACAGTGGTGTACAGCCAGGACTCATTGTCAAGCACTTTTTCTTTATACAGAGCCACTCTCCTCAGAAAGCAGCCATACAAAAGAATGCAGCAACTGAAACTAGAGAGATAATAAACATCTCTATTACCAATTATGTGGGGAAGTTATCGCTGTATGGACTACCAGCTGGCCAATAGTCTTCCAGGGCGGAACTTGCGAAGGCTACATCCCAAAGCCTGGGAGACACACTAAGAGAGGTACTTTGATTTTATTGCCACAAGGAGTGCCCTGTACAGCCCTCTGCGGAGCGCTAATAATTACACAGCTGCAACACTATTGTAAAGCAGAATCACACTGGAGACAGCAATCGTGTTTCATGACGCAGCTCCTTGGCTCATTGCCATACCCCCCCCCCCCTGCATAGCTTTTAGTGCACATGCTGCGGGAAGAGAGAAAGTGCTTCAAGTGTACAATAAATCCCTGTAACTCTCCTGTTTTAGACAGATTCGAGAAATTTTAGAGCAACTGATTCGTGAAGCAATAGTCTTGCGCACTAAAATTACACAACGATTACATGAAAAATTGATGCAGGACCTCTTTAAAGGCTTCACAGCTGAAGGCGAGCAAGTTATTGTGCCACGAGGTCAAGGTTGGATCCGACCATTATGATCTTTAGTTATTCAAAATGTGACGCCACAACGAAAATGCCTGGAATGAGCCCAGTAAAAGCATGAAATAAAAAAAAAAAGGAATGAAAAAAGTTGGCTCACCTGTTGATGTGGTAGGCTACGAGTGGCAGATTAAGCAGCACTGTGAAGAGCTCACCCGCACAGAGAAAGAGCACATTGTAGAGGATATGCACAAGGTACTCGGGAAGCACCAGCTGCAAGAGGAGGATACAAACCAGAGGAGTTAAGGTGTGGTCAACAGCTCCATTGGTGCATGCTGTGTGCAAACAATCCCACTCACGCACATAGGCTACAGGTTGTTTATAGTGAGGCTATCACCGAGTATGGAATGAGTATCAACCTGATGTTCCTACAACTGAGTTCTGTGCTATCTAACATCGAAATTATAGTGTAAGTGATCATAAAAATCTAGTATAGTCTGGAATGCTCTATCGATAGAAGGACACATCCCAACATGAAATGTAACGACCGCTTATTAACCTGGTAGAAGTGGCGGGGCGAGCGAGCTTGCACTACGTTTAAACGATTAGAGAAAAACAGAGGAATGAATCTGAGCTTGGTAACATAGGTATTATAGTCACCAGTGGACTTCAGTGAAGCTGCGGAGGCGCTGTCCCTTATCGGAAGCATGTTGCAGCAAGTGGCCGTGTCACGCCGAGGTAACCAGTGATGAGGCTGAAGCTGCGCAAGTTTGTGCGCAGTGGTCATCACATCACCCGACCCCTCGCCCCCCCCTTTGAAGTGCAGAGCCCTCAGGGTCTGTAGAAATCTGGGAGGCGTACCAGATGTCCACGGCGTGTCGCCAAAGAAGCGGGCTGCGACAACGGCGGCTGTGGAAGGATGCCTGTGAAAACAGCAGTGCTGCGTAGTTCATTTGCAGGGAGGTATACGGGCTTCAGTCGGGCGATCGAGACGGTACGTCATTCTTGTTCTGGCACAAAGTGATGTTTTTGACGTTGCGATGGACAACTAGGTAAGGTTGCGTCTCTCATAATCATATCGTGGTTTTGAGACGTTAAACCCCACATATCAATCATCAACTAGGTAAGGTCATCTGTAGAGTGGCTGGAAAGGCGGGCGGATAGTGTCTCCATGGAGAAAAGCCTGCGCGCACGATGCTAGCTCCTTGAACACAATAGGTGTAGGCTTGTCATTTTGCGCCAGAGCTGGGTGACGAAGTCAGTGGGGTACGTTGTCATAGTGCTGGATAGCGGAGCTGCGAGTAATTCACCTGGGATGTGGAGAGAGAGAGAGAAACGTCTTTATTCACAAAAGCATGGAGAAGGAGAGCATGGCGGGCACCTCAAGCCCGGGGTCCCTAGGACGACTCCAATGACGAGTCGGGCCCGCTGTATCAGAGATCGGAGGACCTTGGGATGTCCATCGCGGAGAGCATCTTCCCACAGCTCTTTGTTATGTAAAGGGCGAAGGAAAGCAGGTAAGGGAGGAAAGATGTTAGCAGTGCACTCGATCGATACATGGAAGGTTGTGGGCGAGTTTCCACAGCTTGGGCAACGGTCTGCATAGCACTACAGGTAGAATTTATGAAGTGCTACTAGATTGGGAATTGTTCTAGTCTGTAGCTGGCATAACGCAACTGCCTCCTCTCACGAGAAAGATGGCGGTGGGGCACTCTGAGTGCGATGGATGTTCCTGTAGTGACAAAAAAAGACGTAGGTGAGAAGAGGATCCCCCCAATCGGAAATGGTCGCCTCGCCTTAACGGGCTGTTCGGAGGGAAATTTCGCGGGCAACAGCCTGTCCGCGTTCATTGCTCGGCAGAGAGGCATGACCAGGAGTCCAGAGTAAGTGGACGCGAAAAGTACTGTTTGACTCAGCGGAATTTGGTTGAGAATTTGGTGGGCCGCTTTTGGGATGCCATGTCCTGATAGGAAGGCCCGACAGGCCTGCTGTAAGTCTGTCAATATGTGGACCTCACTGTGAACACTGATAGCCTATTGTACCGCTAGAGCGATTCCCAGAATTTCGCCATGAGCGGCATGTGTCCCACGCATTGCAGCCGAGTCCTGCAGGGAATCGGTGCCATCTAACACTACCGAGCTGTAACCTTCGCGACTTCGGGCTGTGTTTGTGTAAAGAGTATGCGATTCCGGGATGTCTTCGAGCATACAGCTGAGGTATCGTATGCGGGATTTGCGCCGGCCCTTGTAATGCTGGGGGTGCATGTTACATGGTAAGGGATGATCAGTTAGCATTTTCCGTATTGCTGGCGATAAGGGCGTGGGGCGGGTTTCAATCTCAAGTAGTGAGACGGAAAATCCGAGGCGTGAGAGGAGATTGCAGCCAATAGGGGTGAGTATAAGGCGTTGGCGCTGACTGACCCAATCTGCCTCGATCAGCTCACTTAGTGTGTTGTGTCTCCCCAACTTAAGAAGACGTGTGGAAGTGTAGTTCGGAACGCCGTGGGCCAGCTTTGTCACTCTGTGGATCATGGCGTCTATACTTAGTTGTTGCGATTGGGTCAACCGCTGGATGGTCAAATGATATGTCAGGCGGCTGATCACGCAGGCCTCTACCAAGCGCAGCAGGTCTTCGTCTTTAAGCCCTGAGCGCTCATTTCAAACCCGCCAGATCATGGACGCAACGTCATGTATCATGGATTTGGTCAACTTGTCGAGATAAAAGGCCAACGGTGTAGTTGGCTTTACCACCCGCTTGAACATGTAGTCCAAGGATGCGGGCGTGACGGACATGTGGTATGGGTATGCCATCCACATGCACAATAATTGGGGGAGGAGGGCTACTGCTTCAGCAGCTAATGATGATGAGCTCCGATTTTTGAGCAGCACATTCCAAGCCTCTTTTTTTTTTTGCGTACTCAATGGCAGTATCCACTGCTTTCTGCAGTCGGTCCTAGATGGCTCTATCAGAGCCCTGTATCGACTAGATAGTGATGCCATCCGCACAAATAGCATGGGCGACATCGGGGATCTGGTCGAGCAAGCGCGGAAGCCCTGCCAGTGCGATATTGAATAATATAGAAAAAGAACGGAGCCCTGCAATTTCCCACGTCCTGTAAGGTGGATCGAACCAGACCGATGCGGTCCCATTCTCACAGTGGCCGTACGATCACGAAGAAATGAGCGGATGTAGTTATACATTCGAGTTCCACTATGCGACTCGACTAGATTGTGAAGGATGAGGTCGTGTTCAGCATGATCGAAGGCCCCCTTCAAATCTAAAGCAATGAGTGCTCTCGTTAGGGGGCAAGAAGGAGGCCATAGGACTTTCTCACGTAGCTATAACAGTACATCTTTGGCCGATAGATGAGCTCGGTATCCGAACTGAGAATGTGCGAAGAAGGATTGATGTTCTGAGAAGGGCTGCAGATGTCGCAAGAATACATGCTCTATCAGCTTGCCAATGCAGGAGGTTAGGGATATAGGACGTAGGTTTTGAACCTTAACTGGTTTGCCCGGCTTAATAATCAACAAAATATCGACGTGTCGCCACGCTTAGGGAAGCGTACTTTGGCGCCAGTATTCATTAGAGAGTTTTAGTGCTGGGTACGCATTCTCTTGGGGCGTTGCGGGCTTGGGAGCACGCGACGTGGCGTACCAAACCCCTACCCAACAGGAATGCCTTTTAGTTGGCGCCACAGTTGCGCGCACGCAAACGCGAGTCGCATGAAGATCACACGCACTCGCAGCAACATAGCGTCCGGTCACGTAAGTATAATTTAATTATTTTTTACAATTTCAAGTGTTAAATTTGACATACATAGTTAAGTGAAGTGAATTACTTTCAATAAATTATTTTTAATTATTCTGACAGCTTTCAGCACTAAAAAAACTTTTTCGTATGTGCCGTAGTTGCGACTGAAGCCGGCACCGTCGATGCCAAGCAATCCGGACGGCCGGTCGTAGTCCGACAAATGCGACAAAAGAACAACGGTATAACTTGTAACTCTGTGCAACTTTTACCTTGTACGTATACTTCTTTACTTTAACGTGCTACCGGATACCGGTTTGCGTTTACTGTCTTACCGAAACGCCTGTCTTCTAACGTTTTGAGCTGCTTTTACGTAGACGTTAACGTACGTATGTAAACATATATGCCTTTACGTTTTTGCAAACCATAAATGGTGATGCTAACTGCATTTAACTTACATATTTTGAATCGCCGTTGGGGCAGAATCACGAGACTTTCTTTTATTGTGTACAGTATCCTGGTACAGGCAAAAAGGTGAAAATACAAGGTTACTGTAACGATGGTGTCGACATCTTGTGACACTTCATCCAACCACAGTCATAAACACATTGGCTTACGCGTAATTTTTTTGAGGCTGAAAATGATTAAAAAAGTAACTCGATTGTAATAACGTTGCTGCACGGTTTTTGCACGAGACGTACAATGCACAATGTTTCTGCAATAACAGTTTTGTGATTGCCTAATTTACTATGGCCCCGCTAGACGGCGCCACCTATTCAGCTGGTCGAGGCCTCGCACGCTTTTGGATTTCATGTTCTAGGCCATTCTAGCTTTGGTAATCTGGCTCAAACAATTTAATCTCTATTGATCCACCGCCAGCACCTTAATAACGTTGCTGCACGGTTTTTGCACGAGACGTACAATGCACAATGTTTCTGCAATAACAGTTTTGTGATTGCCTAATTTACTATGGCCCCGCTAGACGGCGCCACCTATTCAGCTGGTCGAGGCCTCGCACGCTTTTGGATTTCATGTTCTAGGCCATTCTAGCTTTGGTAATCTGGCTGAAACAATTTAATCTCTATTGATCCACCGCCAGTACCTTACGCAACAGAAAAATGTCCACCTCGGGCGTGAAGTAAAACCTTGCGCTGCTTCGCCGGAGGCGGCACCTTAGAAGGCAGCCGATACATGCTGACCGAGATTTAGCGCCTTTGTGCTATAATAATTGTGTCAAGCTGGTGACTCTGGTCAGTCTCGGCTTGGCTCGCCGTAAAGGTGAGTTACATCACGGGTAACATGATGCGCCAGGGCAGGTTATCTCCGCTGGGAGCGTTGTTTATGGCCGCGCGGACGCATCGCCCCATCGATCTTGCGACACATCTGTTTGGGGTTTTGTGCATGCGCAATACCGCCGCGCCAATGTCCTAGGTACACAAGCCGCTTGGGTACCCAGCACTAAAACTCCCTATTGAATATACCGGTGAGGTGGCTGATATCCGCGCCAGTTAGGTTGCGGAGTG